AAACGGTGCTCTCCTTTGCTCCCCAGATATTTCTTGAGGGGCTCCTGACAGTCTTGGATGCTTGAGACCGGGGCCAGCCCTGGGGGAGCCCATACTCTAGGCAGGAAATTGATACACATAGCAGGAAATCGATGATTTCCTAAAATTATCACCTGGATAAGTAGAACATTCAGATAGTTCACATTTCAAAGGATGTAGATGAAAAGCCCCCTCTGCTGAACCTTAGCTTCCTGCTTTCACTCCCCAAGGCGGTTTCTTACCTTTTCTGTGCACAGACAAGCAAAATGACATCTGAGAATCTTCTTCCATTTTTACAAAAATGGTAGCATAGTCCACATACAGGTTTGCACCTTGCTTTTATCGTTTAAAAATTCATCTTGGAGACGTCTTTGTTCTTTCTATGACTGCATTGTGTTCCATGGTGTGGGTGTGTTATTTATTTAACGAGTCCTTGTTCTTGGGCATTTTGGTCACTTCTCTGTTGTTTAGCTGTTGTGAGCAAGGCTGCAAAGAGTGACTAAATACATCACTTTGTAGGGTAAGTTCTTAAAAAGGAAATTGCTGTGTCCAAGAGCGTATGCGTTTGTAGTTTTGACAGATATTGCCAACTTGCTCTCCATGGAGTGTAAATTGGTTTAACCTTGATCAGCCATATATCATCTGTGCCTGTTTTCCCACAGCCACCGTGGTGTATTGAACTTGGCCAGTCTTGTAGGCAAAAAAAATCGTATCTTGTTTTGTTTTAATTTGCAAAATCTTTTACCCTGAACGAGGCTGGTCAGGTTTTCATGGATTTGTGTTTTCTACGGAATTGTCTGTTCGTATCCTTTGCCATTTTAAAATTTGGGATACTGGTCATTTTCTTATTGATTTGTAGAAATTCTTTATATATTAGGAAAATCAGCTTTTTGTCTCATGGATCATAAGCACCTTTTATTCTGGAGAGAGGCTGTTGTATTCATTCAAAAAGGACTAGTGAATAGGTAAGGATAGATAGGAAGAGGAAGGACTGGCGTCAGCAAGGTCCAGGATGGCAGAAATCAGCCTGGGCTTTGGCCATAAACAGCCATGATTTCACTCCTGTGTGATTTCAGTGCCCTGTGACTTTAAGCAACCAGTTTCTTCGTTCCATCGACAGGTGTTTGGGAAGGGAGGGGGGCACTTAGCATGTGTCAGGCCTGGGACTGCTAAGCCTTGATTTCCTCATCTAGAAAAAGGGAATAATAGCTTCTTATAGGTCTATTAGGAGGCGTAAACAAGTGAATACATGCTTCACACAGAGTACGCACTTGATAAATATTTGTTGTTGTTCTTGTTATTGTTTATTATTATTATTATTATTATTATTATTATTATTATTATTATTATAGCTATTGTTATGGGTAGAGCACGGGTCCAGTCCTGAGGGACATGGGGCCATGATGGCATCAGGTCATCTCTACACAGGGAGGAAAAACAGACAGAAGGAGTAGGGAGGGACGCGGGGCGCCTGGCCTGTGAGAGACCCAAGTTGGAAGTACTGTGTCTGGAGTGGGTCACACGCAGGCCTGGGTCCCTCTGGCAAGTGGCTTCCTCTCTCTGAGCCTCCACCCTCAGCTGTCACCTGGGGCTCGCCGGGTCCCTTCTGAGCACTGTGGTGGAGAGCAGGCCAGAGCACATTTGTCCTGTGCCATTTCAAGGTGTACACTTGGCGAGCACCTGCTCTGTGCCCAGTGCTTGTCTAGACTTCATCCTCGGATGCCAAACCATCCCAACTGACCCAGCACCGAGGAGGTTCTTGGGATACAGGGCTTTCTGTTTTAAGATGGAGACAGTGCAAACACATGAGCAGAGAGTTTTGTCTGTTATGTCCCTGCTGTGTGCCCAGTGCCCAGAACAGTGCCCAGCACACAGCGGACACCGGTGAGCATTGACCAAGTCAATGCCTGGGGGAGGGAGCCCACCCACACGTACAAGCATTTGCTCTGTGCTGGGTCCGCTGTTGTGAAATCAAAGGGAACGCCATGACTGATGGGCACCAGGCGTGGTGTGAAAACCACTGTCTGGGAGGATTGTGGGGTGGTAGTCAGAAACAGGGACCCTGGAACCCCGGCTCTGCTACGTACAGGCCCTGTGACCTCAGGCAAGCCACTTGCTTCTCTGTGCCTCAGTTTCCTCACCTGTAAAATGAGGATGATAATAGTAGCTACTTCCCAGGTTGTTGTGAGGGATAAATACATTCATATATGGAAAGTGCTTGAACGGGGTTGGCATGTTGAAAGTCATCCTCCAAAGTGAAAGAAGCCAGGCAAACTTCCTCTAAAGGGCCAAGTGTCAACATTTCAGGCTTGGCGGGTCGCTGTCATTACAGCCGTTCCCCCTTATCCACAGGGGATACGTTCCAAGACCCCCAGTGGATGCCTGAAACCATGGACAGTACCTAGCTCTATATATACTGTTTTTTTCCTATACATACATACATACATACATACATACATACATACCTGTGATAAAGTTTAATTTATAAATTAGGCTCAGTAGGAAATCAACAATAACTAATAATAAAATGGAACAGTTATAACAATACACTGTAATAAAAGTTACGGCAATGGCTTTGGGGCCATTATTAAGGAAAATAAGGGCTACTTGAACACAAGCACTGCGATACCATGGCAGTCAGTCTGTTAACTGTGATGGCTACTAAGTGACGAGCAGGCAAAGTGCGTACAGCGTGGCAATGCTGGACAAAGGGACGCTTCACACCCCAGGTGGGATGGAGCAGATGGCACGAGATTTCATCCCATTCCTCAGAATGGTATACAATTTAAAACTTCAGAATTGGTTTACTGGAATTTTCCATTTAATATTTTTGGACTGTGTTTGACTGCGGGTAACTGAAACCACAGAAGATGAAACCTCAGATAAGGGGGGACTACTGTATAGTGCAAAAGCAGCTGTGGACCACCCATATAATACATGAATGAGCATGGGTGTGTTCCAATAAAACTTTACTGATGGACACTGAAGCTTGAATTTCATATCATTTTCACAAGTCACAAAATATTATTCCTGATTTTTTGTTTGTTTGTTTAAGCATTTAAAAATGTAAAAACTATTCTTAGCTTGTGGACCATACAAAATGGTAGGCCAGGTGGGGTGGCAGGCCAGATCTGATCTAGGGGCCATGTTTTGCGGACCCTTTTGATATCTTTATTTCATTGATGGACACATCATGATTTATTTCTTCAGTCCCCTATTCATGACTACTTAAGGTGGTTGCCTGTGTAATTGCTAACAAACAACACTCATAAATATTCTTGTACCCACATTTTGCACACACATAGGAAAATACTAGGTATGAACAAAAATACAGTGAATGTTTAAATAAAAACAATTATTACAGTAAAAGACACATTGCCTTTTATCCCCCTCTGAATAC